AACTTCTCATTTCTCAATAAATTCGTCAGTAATGCATATAGATGATGTTTCTCCGAAAAAATCAATGAGTAATGTCAAAAAACTTCCACAGATACCCCAATATTTCAATTCAGAGACTAAACGTATTTTTTTGTTTTTTTGAAAACAATAACTTTGGATCATGAAAAGTGATAGTGTGGAAAGGATATTTATTTTCATTGCAGTAATTCAAAGCACGGTTTCATAATGCATACCATCGAATAATGTTGTTTAGATAACCTTATTACCACTGTTTGATGAATATACTAGAGTAGAAAAATATTGGGATAACTGTTGAAAATGAGCTACATTACAATAGCATGTCGAAATGTTAGGTTTCATGCAGATATCAGATAACTATAATAAAATGAGACGAATTACTGCGTTACCTCAAGATGGTTGTGCCAGTAATAAAAACATGTTGTTCTATGTCGATAGTCTAATAACCACTGTAGAGTGGAGAGTTACTGTTACATTTTATGGGAATAATTCCTATTCGACATTCTGTGTTATCATAGAAACTAGAACAAGTAGCAGTTATTCAGGAGCGGTGTTTTTATACAAGTTTGCAAATTGAATAAGCTGCCATAACTACAAGTCACCTGAAAATTCACTTCATCTATGGTAGCACATGAACACATCTGTCCCCTATTTATTGCAGATATCGTAATAACGGTTATCAGATTTCCAATTATGATAACTTGAGTTTTCTCTCAGTGTACTTATATGTTATGATTATTTGAATTTCACTATCTATATGTATATACTCCTCCATTTTCCTCGAATATTTAATACTGATATGAATTTAAAATATCAATATATCTAGTTTTTCTTTCGAACTCTATATTTGTCAAATAATACTCCAAAATCTTCAAGTCGATGATTTTTCTCGATAGACATTCCTATTCCTATTATTTCTTATCAAATCTATCATCATTAATTTATACCTATTAGTCTTTAAGTAATGATTATCTCAAAAATTGTCATTGGTTGATTGATTGAAAACTTAATTATTATCCAAACAAACATTTAAAAACCCTAAAAGTAAATGATTATATATATATAACATTAAGTTTGAAGAAATGTGTGTTTCTTCAAAAACAATATAATTCTTGTTCATTGTCCAAGGATCGTTAATACTAATACTTTGCGAAAATTTTGAAACATAAAGCTTGGCCTGCGTTGAAAATTCCGAAAAAAATAGATTACCTATACCCTACCGTTAATGAATTCCGTCATAAGTGATTACATTCTGCATTGGGTAATGAAAAAATCGTGGAAAAACTATTTAGGGACATCCTTTATCTTAAGTATCATCAGCAACAAATATTCCAGGATCCCCTCAAAGTTCCAGTTGCCTATTCCGCGACACTGGATGCTACACTTGTGAATTGTGTACCGCATATTTCTTCATATGGTCACTTTCACATATCTCGATAAACATAACAAAAACTCAATAATCAATGAAAATTCTCAATAAACTTTTATAATCATCATAAATTCTCAGCACTCATCAATAATCTTTTTTTCCACGCACAAGATCAAAATTACTCTTCTAAACAACATGTAAATCACCTTATGACATTTAAATTCTCGAACTATAGCACATCTTTATCAACTAATACTTTCTCTATGTTTTTCAATAGGCCATAAACAACTAAAAACAAATTGATATTTTATACTTAGTTTTTGTATAAGTACAGATGGTTTTAGCATGCCTATCTGTGTGCACTACCAGGAACGCCCCATTTGAAGATCAAACCGAGGCAGTCCAGTTTTAGCATGCTGGACATTTTTACATTCAATCCTCAAAATAATGAAAACTGTCTCACTAAAATATTTAACTAACTTTGATATTCATAATTTGATGAAAATTACATAATTAAAAAAGAAAAAGAACATGAAATTTGAAAAAGTGAGGTTGGTTATGAAGAACCAACCTCGGGAACGAGCCATTGGCGCCTCCACCATGTCACAAACTGTAGGCGGGGGTTGCCTAAGCTGTGTTCTTTTTGTCAATAGAGAATGAACCTTGGCAATTTATGAATAGTCGGAAAAAAAGTGAAATCATTTCCAAAACAACAAATATACACATTTATTCAGAATCAGAATATGAATAACAATTTAAAACATACCTTATGCTTGTACATGCTATCTTCTGAGACCTGGAGGAAGGGCATCAGTGTCACAGCTTCAGACGACCGATGAAAACGTATTTATCATTCTCAAGGTAAATTCGCGACGCGTCCTTGTCAGAGTCCTAAGCGCCTATGGAAAAAGAGTTCGTTCACGATTCGAAAATTTTGGAATTAATAAACAAAGACGCGACCGTTCAATGACTTCGAACCTTGTATGAATTTGAAGGAATGAATGAAAAATAACCCTATTTGTGACAATAAGACCAATAATTTAGTCAATTAGTAAATCAGTTGGTTGCGTTGACAAATATAGCCTTATAGAAGATGTCCAAATTCCAGATACAGAACAATTTTTTTTATGGAACACCCCGTACATTTTGGCAGAGCTGGAAAGTTCCCGTTTCAATTTCAAATATATATCTTATTTATCATCTCTTCGAACGCAAAAATATTAAGGCATACTAGAAATAATGGGTAAAGTATCATATTCAGGCATTCTGCCACAAAATATTATGATTGTTAATGTTTCCATCAATATTATGTGTCGAATTAATGTAATGTCACTGGACTTCAATACGAACATATTCTCATGATAATTTCGTCACAAGCCAGCTATGCCTATACGATATACCTATGATATACCTATAGTTGTCCATGAGAAGATGGCTATGGAAATGACAAACATGTAGGTAATTCATTGCCGCTGTCAAGAAGCGGATTGTTGATTTTTGTGTTATCCATCGAAATGCCTTATGAAAACTGAGAAGTATGATATGATATGTGTTTATATCGAATGTGGAAGGCAGAAAGAACAGGCAAGCGAAGTTTATTATCAACGCTATCCCGAAAGACGACAACCCCATGTATCAAAGTTTAAAAAATTAGAAAATAATTTGATGGAATTCGGATCTTTCACAAAACCAAGACCAAAAAAGTATGCCAAAGAAAATTATGACAAAGAAGAAAATGTTATTGGTTATGTAAACGCCTACCCCTCAGCGTCTTCTAGAAAAATAGAGAATGCTGTTGCTGTACCAAGAAGGAGTGCTCTGGCAATTTTAAAAAGGTATCATTATCGCCCCTATCACATATCTGTCAATCAGTTTTTATATCCGGGTGATTATGAAAGAAGGATGACATTCTGTAGGTGGTATGTAGCTGAATGCGAAGAGAGGCAGAATTTTTCCCATGATATCATATGGAGTGATGAGACACATGTCACTAGTGCTGGATTATTCAAAAGGCATAATGAACACCACTGGGCCGATCATAATCCTCAAATTCATCATGATAGGACGCAACAGGGTAGGTTTGGTTCCAACATAAGTTGTTTCATCAGGATACAGATTAGCCTACGTTATATTTGAAGAAAATTTGAGAGCGGAAAACTATATTCGAATTATGAATCGGAATTCGGAAGAATTGCTGGACGAAGAGCCTCTTGCTAGATTACCGCATACTTATTTCCAACAGGATGGATGTCCATCCCATAATGCCCGTAGAGTTACAGATATCCTGAATATAAAGTTCCCACAAATATGGATTGGTACAAATGGACCAATTCGATGGCCCCCCCGTTCACCAGACTTGAATCCTTTGGATTTTTTCTTGTGAGGATTTCTAAAAAACCATATATACCGCCGAAATCACCAAAACGCTGAAGAACTACGTGAAGACGTTATTTCAGCATTCCAAAAAGTGAGACCCATTCATATCACCAACGCAGTGAATTCTGTAAGGAAACGATGTGAAGTTTGCTTAGGCCAACATGGAAGACAATTTGAACATATTCTATGAAGCCATATCTATGCATCGACTCGTTTAAACGAATACTGATACAAGTGATTATTTCCCGAATGCCTATTGATTTCGATTGAGCCAGGCCGCTAGACAACCACAGACCGGTTTCGAGGATGTAATTCAATATCCTGCGTGGCATTAGCCAGGAAAGTAGTTGTTTCTCTCCCGAAATCTATTATTGTTGTTCATTCTATGAACACTGGGTGGAAATGACTGTGAGCTTTTCACATTTATTTATCATTTCATTCCACTGTGAGCATTGTGACTATTTCGTAGTTCATATTACGCCAGTCGGGCTGCCAGCCACTTCCGTATGGGAATTTCAGTTTTGGAGTGATTCTTTCCTCGGTTCTACTCAGATGGCGTTACTTTCATTTTATCGATGAAAGACGCCTCGGGGTGGATATAATGCCAACTTGATTTTTGTTTGGCTAAGCTTCGCTGAGTCGGCGGTGTTAGGACTACTGGCACTGCACTGCACTGCACTGATGAGAGTCAAAGAGCTCGAAAACGGTCTGTGGTTGTCTAGCGGTCTGGCTTAATCGAAATCAATAGGCATCCGGGAAAGAATCACCTGTATCAGTATTCGTTTAAACGAGTCGATGCATAGATTTCGGGAGGATGTAATTCAATATCCTGCGTGGCATTAGCCAGGAAAGTAGTTGTTTTTTTCCCGAAATCTACCATTGTTGTTCATTTTATGAACACTGGGTGGAAATGACTATGAGCCTTTCACATTTATTTGATATTGTTTTATTCATCTTAGGGGCATTGTGTTTTCAATATTCATTGAAAATGGATATTGGAGTTAAGAGGTTTTACTATTAGGAATACTGATGATTCATATAAAACAACCTGTTAACTTCTAATATTATCATTGGATTTCACGACTCGTCTTTTAGAAATATTTGAAAAACTGAAATTTGTCGAAAAATATTCAATTAGTGTCATTGCTTTCATAATTCACAATTATCATTCAATTCTCTTTATTCTTTACGTGCCTTGGAATAATCTGTTTGAATTGATTGAGTATTTCTATTATAGTATACCAATCAGGAGCTTCAAAAATCGTTCATGCAGCTTCGAAAATTGAAAGCGTAGAGCCAAATAATATGACAAAAAAAATTTCTGAACATACAGAAGATCAAAAGGTCAGTGCCGACTGCGAAAATATAGATTCATGGAAAACACCTATAATATCATCGCCACAACAAGAAATTACTCGGGTGGATGTATATAATCAGGGAATAAGCTTGAATGATCCTACTCCAGAAACTAGCTCAGAAAATCAAAAGGCTAACATATCTGGAGATGAAATCCTGAGTGTTCTGAATACTGAAGGGAATATGTTCAACCAGACACATGTATTTTGTGTTGTTCCTGGTGTAGAGATCAGCTTAGAAGACAGTTCTGATAGGGAATCAGATACAAAAAAACATGATGTTCAATTTCCGAATAATCAAGAAGACCTGAGAAACCAGGCGGTCACAGATATCGAAAGTCTGGTAGATACTGAAAGTATGAATACCAATTCACCACTTTTTGAATTGATTGACAGTAACGAAGCAGAAAAAATAATGATTCGGATTATATTGTTGGAGATTCAGATTCGGAATCATCCGGTCCTGAAGAAGAAGTTGCTGAAATCACTGATGAAAGAATTATTGAACTCGTGGACTACAGTGAATCAGAGAATAGCGAGGATAATTCGATGCAGAAGAATACGTTAGAAGCTGAGGAATGTGAAAGAAAAAGACGCAAAAGACACAAAGTTTCGATAGATGATTGGACCAGCCGTAAACAGAGAGCTGATATAGAAAAAGGAAGACCTTATAAAGGAAAAGAGAAAGAAGGAGGAAAATGGAAATATACCGGCCAAAAGAGTAAGCGAATTCTCAAGCCTAAGTGTGAGTGTCGTTTGAAGAACAAGAGATCTCAAATTGATTGTGGATTGATTGCTGATGCTGATAGACAACAGATATTCGACTTTTTCTGGAATTTATCATGAAAAGAAAAGAAAATGTACTGCAACATGCTTATCATGATGAAATCTACAAAAAGAACTAGGGATAGAAAAGAAGAAAACATGTCGAGACGAAGCTACAGTTTAGAGTATTACTTGAAGATCAATGAAAATAAAATCAGAGTATGTATAGAAATGTTTCACAGTACATTGGGGATCAGACCTTGGAGTAGTTCGAACTGGAAGAAGAATGAAAAGGCACAAATAATGATGAAATCACGAGAAAACATACCTGCGGATGAAGAGCAAGGGCCAACACCAGACTTCACACTAAGACAGCAGCCATACGTGTCATGAATAATTTGTTTAGAAAATTTCTCATCTAGTTTACCTACTATGGAATCCCATCATTGTAGAGCCCATACCACACACATTCTATTCTAATGACTGGTGCAGAGAGGAGAATGAAAAGCCACTTTGATTAGCTAAATTTTTGTAAACATTTGAATCAAAAAATGTCACTCTATTCCGTCCAAAAAAGGACGAATGTGATATTTGCATCGCTTTCAAAGCTGGAAATATCAGTGAGCCAGAGTATCAGTCGCATCAACAAAGAAAGGAAGATGCAAGAAAAGAAAAAGAAAAAGACAAAGAAAATGAAAACAACGTTTTCACTATGGATATGCAGTCAAAATGTTGATTTGTAGTTTGTAGTGGACTGTAAATTGATTAAAATGCTGGTTGTCTTGACAAATAGGTATATTTATTTGCCAAAGGCGTTAGTTGGGGTGTGAAGTGCACAATACAACAACTGAGAACAGACTGCTTTCTTTTTAACTCTCGAAGGGTATCCGAGGGTACGACACTTTCATCTCAGGTCAATTTCTTGGCGACAAGAATAATATACAGAATCTTAACATGCCGCCGGCCTTGAAATATGGTGATGTTTCAAAGAAATACAATATATGAATAAATCTATGATAAAATGTGTATGTAACAAAAACAAAATTTTGAAAATGACTGTCAGAATTTGAGTCCAAGAATCCTATACTATATATGATTAATAACTGGAGTTATTGTGAGTTATTCTCAAAGGGCGATAAACAAATTTTCGAAACACTGCACTTCACTTCACCCATAAGTGTCTTTATTGTCACTACTCTAATTAACTGGTTAGGTCCAGGATGTAGAGCTACGATGCGTTCCATTGTCTAACGAAGTGGCGGCAGGTTATACTGTCGAGTTTTACAAGTTTTTGAGAAAATTGCCACTTATATCTTTGTTGCAATTCAGCTAGATATTCTGTGGCCCATCGTTTCCAAAATTGCTGCTGTAATTTTTGCATATACTGGAATCTCGACAAACGGTTGTCTACAATGTCCTGTAGATCTGGATCGGGTAATGAGGTTAGTCTTTGTTCAATCAAGAAATGTGCAGGAGTTAGCACGTCTAAGTCCTCCGGGTTCTCCGACATAGGTGTAAAAGGACGGGAATTGAAGATTGCTTCTATTTGAGCCAACACAGTAGTCAACTCTCCAAATGTAAGACTGGCGTTTCCAATAATTCACTTCAAATGATTTTTGACTTGTTTAATATTCGCTTCCCAAAGTTTTCCGAAATTAGGTGCCCTAGGAGGAATAAAGTGCCAAGTGACAAAGTCTCGCGATAAATGGTTCGTGATTGTTTCTGTTTCGTTTTCCAGAAATTTGTACAATGATTCTAATTCTCTGTTCGCACCTACGAAATTCGAACCATTATCAGAATAGATATTTCTAGGTTGACCGCGTCTCGAGGTGAATCTCCTTAACGTAGCAATGAATGCTTCGTATGTCATATCGGACACAACTTCTTCTTCAAATAAACAAATGTAAGATTTAATCAACTCATAGCCTCTTGATTTTTTATCCTTCATGAGAATTGGCCCAGCATAATCGACCCCTGTGTTATAAAACGGTGGCGCTTGAGTTATCAGTGATTTTGGGAGGTTGCCCATCAGTTGCTCTAAAACTTTAGGTTTCGCTTTAAAACATGTTACGCACCGCTGAATTACCTGTTTGCATAATTTACGACCATGAACTGGCCAATATCTCTCTCTAATACTAGCTAATATATGTTGTGCCCCGCAATGCCCTAAACGACAATGCTCATAGCGTAAAATAAGTTTCGTCAACTCATGTTTCGGTGGTAAAATCATTGGATACGTTTTTTGATGATCATAGTTTGCTTGATCAATTCTACCTCCTACTCTAAGGATTTTATTTTTATTTAAAAATGCATTCAATGGTAGAAGCTTACTTTTCCTGTGGAGTTTGCCGTGTTGCTTGAAATATTCTATGTCTAAACTAAAATGCTCATACTGAGCTTGTTTGATTAAAATGTTTATAGAATTTTCCATTCCGATTGATGTCAAAGTTCCGTAAATCCTATTTTCCGTCGATTTGCGATTATTAAAAAATCTAATCAAGTAAGCTGTAACTCTCACCAGTTTGATAAAGCTAGAGTATTTACAAAATAATTCATGTTTACTATTAACAACGATATTTACAATGAAATTTCTTTGTTCAGGTATTTCTACATTTGGCTGCTTAATAAACTTTGATTTCGGCCACCTTGATTGTTCATCTGCTAACCATGCAGGTCCCATAAACCAGAATTTTGAACTAGTGAGATTATCGACAGTAACACCACGGCTAACCAAATCAGCAGGATTGTCTTCTGATTTGACATGATGCCACTGATTGGACCGCGTCAACGTCAAAATTTCACCTACACGGTTACCTACGAATGTTTTCCATTTGTTTGGTGGGCCCTTTATCCATGATAATGTAATCGTTGAATCACTCCAATAAAAAATGTTTTCAAATTCGACTTCTAGTGATTCAACAACCTTTTGAGTCAAGTTCGCTAACAATTGAGCAGCACATAACTCTGAACGAGGTAAGCTCACATTCTTAATAGGTGCTACCCGAGATTTAGCACACATCAACCTTGTTGTATAAGGATTACTATATTTACAATCCTTCTAAGTTCATCGCTAAATCTACCTGTATATCATTTAGCACTGGCTCGTCCCACGAGATCTGCAGTTGCCACAATTTTTGAATCATTAGTTTAGCCACTATAATTACTGGAGATAAATAACCGAGTAAATCGAAAACTTAGTATACTTCCGATGAGATGATACGTTTTGTTAATACCGTTCTACTATGTCTATCCTGTACACTTACTGAGTATTTGATATCGTCTATACTAGAATCCCAGTAGATTCCTGATATTTTACATGTTTGATTGGTGGACTAATCAATTATATTACTACTTAAATATCTATTGTTCACTTCGAATTTGTTTACTAGGCTCGGTACATTGGTCTGCCACTTCCTCAATTCAAATCCCGCTGATGAAAATATATTTGATAAATCCTGCTGTATATCTGAGATGCCTTGAACACTTTCACTACCTGTCAAAATATCGTCCATGTATGTATGTTTTCTTATAATTTTGCAAACTTTTGGATTTGTTGATTCATTCTCTATAGCTAATTGTTCAAGACATCTTGTAGCTAAATATGGAGCGGACGCCGTTCCATATGTTATCGTGTTCAATTCATAGCATTCTACGTTTTCCTCCGGACTATTTCGCCAAAGAATTCATTGGAACCTTCGTTGGTCCGGCCGTATTAATACCTGCCTATACATCATGGCAATGTCTCCTGATAGGACATATGTATGCCATCGAAACGAAATCAAAATTGAAATTAGGTCATTCTGTATAGTTGGTCTAACAAATTGCATATCATTGAAGCTCAAGCCCGAATCATTTTTTGCGCTCGCGTCAAAAACTACTCTAACCTTCGTGGTGAGGCTAGCTTCCTTAACCACTGCATGGTGAGGTAGATAACAACTAATCGATTCTTCCGCATCTTTTTCTTCGATCCTACTCATATGGCCTAGGTTTGCATATCCATTCATGAATTCCCTTTAATGTTTTTGTAAATTCATGTCTCTTTCAAGTTAATTTTTCATTGAATAGAACCTATCTAACGCTATTTTCCGTGATTTTCCCAATTTCACCAAGTTTTCCCTCAATGGGATGCTTACAACGAAACGACCTTGTTCGTTTCGCCCAAAGTGTTTATTGAAATGGTCTTCGCAATACTGTTCACTATCCGAGAGCATCATTTTCTTAGAAAATGTTTTCTAAATTTTTCTATATTCAAACACATGTTATAATTATTGTTAGCTTGTATATCAGAACAGTTCATGTTTCCGCCTATGATCCATCCGAGACTTGTTGATTGCAAATTTGGCTTGTTTTTTCCTAAAGGTATAATCTCATTGCGTAATAAATCTCAGTAAATGTTCGCCCCAAGTAAGATCTCAATATCCCCGCGTGTATTGAATGTTGGATCTGCTAATTGAATGTTTTCTGGGATTTTCAAACATGTATAATCAAATGAGACCGATGGTAACTCTTCCGTAATTTTCGATATAACTAAAGTACGAATTGTCCTACTAAATATTCCGTCTAATGAACTGATTTTTATTGTTGTTTGGTATTCTACATTCGGAGATGCTTCATTTATGCCCGTAATTTTAGATTGTATTCTTCTTTTATTCGAACCGAGTTTTTTTCATGAATCCATGGGTATTATAGAACTTTGTGACGCGTTGTCTAACAAGGCCCTACAAGTGTGTGCCTTGCCCGTTGTATCAAATACCTGCAATAATGCAGTCGAAAGTACTACCTGACATAAGTTCGTGTTGTCTAATGCATGAAGCATATTTGAATTGTTAGAGGTGGCAGCCGAGTTGCTATTGGTATGTTCCGAGCCTGTATTCCTACCGATATTCCTATTAACATCCGTGTTGTGATCTGACCTCGTATTTTCCGTGTTGTTTTGTGTAGTCAAATGTAGTAAAG